AAAACTCAGTGCCTCTGTGGAAGGTAAGGATGACTATTGCGTTTGTGGTGCAATCAGAACATTGCGTGTGTTGAAGTTGTTTTAACGCAAACCAAAGATGCCTTTTAAAAAAGAAGTTTACATCATATTCTTATGCATGCCAGTGCTGTGTGTGAGGTAATTTAAGGTGGTTTTGACAAGTGTCGTCGGCATCTTCATATCCGGTCACATGGGCAACAAGCCACTCCCATCCAGTCACATGGGCCACTCCCACAAAGGAGGCCACACCCACAGAGTAGGTTCGAACAATTTTTGAAACCCACCACTGAGCAGAAACCACAAACAGCTACCCACAAATAACCTTAAGATTTAATATGAGACAGAAGGGACATCCCAAAATACAGATTTACATAGATTATTCAATCTTTGTTTCTAAAACATAGCTGTGCTTGTGAGATCATCCAAAACATATTTTTTTTGTCTACTTTCAGATTGTCCTTGTAGGCACAGAGATCCAAAACATATTTCCCTCTATTATCAGATTGTCCTTGCAGGTAAATAGATCTTTGCAGACCTGACCTGAAAGCTTTTAGAAGAGTTCATTTGACCCATCCTGCCCTAGGTATTTGAGGTTTGATATGACTGGTCTCCCGACAATTTTTCCTCGTTCTCTGCCCAGAATTGGATGGTAGGGGAAAATCTAAATCTCTGCCTGAACCTTTCAAGTCAAGACCAGTTGCTGGCTAATTACACCTTGCACAGTTCTGAGGTCATGACTACTGCTACCTAATTCACACAAGAAAACACTCTCTGTGTTGTCACTGGGATCACGTCAAGTTAGTCGGCTGCCATGGTATCTATTTCCTCTTGGCGTGTTTCCTGGAAACAATGACTTCAGTACCCAGAAGTGCTTAAGCTGTCTGGCAAGAAAGGCTTGGTGATAACCCCCAGCTTCCTGCTTAGAAGGGTGCTTTGTGCTTTCAAGATGAAACGGTTCCACCACAAAACCGCGGTCGACTAAAGCGCGCTCGACGAAACCGCGTAGCTGACGTCATCACAGCGCGACGAAAAAAGCACGCTGTAAACGCTAAAGCTAAAATTAACCCCTAAACCTAAACCTAACCCCCCTAAACCTAACCCTAAACCTAACCCTTAACCTAACCCTAAACCTAACCCTTAACCTAACCCTAAACCTAACCCTAACCCTTAACCTAACCCTAACCCTTAACCTAACCCTATTCCTAACCCTTACCTTAATTTGAATCGGCTTGCTTTCAAAGCGCTATTTAAAGCGCCCTTTTTTTTCCGCGGTCGCTGTTGTCGCCCTGCTGATGACGGCAGCGACGCAGTTTAATCAGGCACGCTTTAGTGGAGCGCGGTTTTGTCGTGCCACGGATGAAACAGGTGGTAGAAAGCCAGGTTGCTTTGAGATGGGAATGCAAGAATCCCATAGATTGTCACTTCAGTATCTCTAATCTAAAAGATCAGAAGAGCAAGGAAGCTATTAAAAAGAGGCTGTCCAATCCTTTATATTAGAGTTTTCCAAGGAAAGGCAAAGTAGCTGCCAACTGAGCTTTAATTATGAAGACTTTATGCACTAAAGAAAATGTATTGGCTGTGTTATTCTCCTAGATTCCTTATAATTCTACTGGATTGTTAACTAAAGCATATTCTATCAGCATCACACTTAGGCCTTTTCCCCCAAGTGTAGCTGAGCACAGTGTTGTGTATTCAATTTCATGGCAGGCAGGTGAGTTCTCCTGGGGTGCAGCTGGAACAAGCACTAAGTATGTATTACAAGAATGTAACCCAAGTGTGCAGCTACCTGGCAGAGTCACGCTAACGGGTTGTTCTTGGCATGCAAACTTGGTAGCAGCTGTGAAACAGAGGGGGGAATTGCTGGGATTTACAGCAACATTATAGGTACCCTTTTCAATAAAATGTTTAGAAACTCTTAACATCCTTCAAGAGGGCAACTTAACTGTTAATTTCGGCGTCTCTCAAAAATCTCAAATTTCAGATCAAAGAAGGGGTGGTATAATGTTACAGCGAGCAAACTGATCTGAGAAGAGGCTTGGTTTCAAATCTGCCTAATGCTGCATAGTGTGATATTTAGGCAGACTAGGATCAGGAAGAGCAGCTCATCACATTAAGTTATGTTCCAAATATCACAACATTAGGACAGCTTGTGTTCCAAGACAGTCGGCTGGCACTGCTGGGAAAATTACAGGTGAGGCATGCAAGCAGCTAGCCCTTCTTTTCTTGCTTACCTCTTCTAGCTGATATTATGCTATTGATGCTGATAGACAGGCAGCTCTTAGTGCTACCAATCAAAAGACTTCCTGCAGCTATTTTGTTTTCCCCTCCTTGTTGTTTTTATTAGGAAAAAAGATGCAAGAAAACCCAATGGAAAAATGGCCATGTGTGTGTTACAAGAGGGACATAATAATACAGTATCCTGGGCTCCTTTGTCATATTTTTTTTATGAATGGAGCAGGACAATTGGATAAGAAAAGTTTTATCTAGAAGTATCCAGGCTCTGGGCTGTAAATCATCAATATTTCTGTGATTGCAAAGGATCAGCTATCCCAAAGATCCTAGGAAGTGTGTGATGTGTAGGGGTGGGGAGGGAAGGAAACAAGAATGAGATGGTATCGCTGTAGCAGCGATCAGATTGTTCTGTTTTCATTTGGCACATTATTCTCTTGAGAAAAGTTATCAAGGATAAAAGGAAGGGCACTAAGCAGGAGGAGTCGGTTCACCGACAAATGCACGCTTGACAAAAGTGCGCCGATGAAACTGCAGCGAGAAAACCGCAAGGTTGAAATCGCCCAACGAATGCGCGCAGAAGCACACCGACAACAGCGCGCCAACAAAAGCATGCCTTCAACAAACAACTAATAACAACCTCCTAACTCTAACCCTAAACCTAACCCTAAACCTAAGCCTAACCCTAATCCTAACCCTAACTGTAACCCTAAACCTAACTCTAAACCTAACTCTAAACCTAACTCTAAACCTAACCCTAACCCTAAACCTAACCCTAAACCTAACCCTAAACCTAACTCTAAACCTAATCCTAACCCTAAACCTAACCCTGAACGTAACCCTTACCTTAACTTAAATTGCGCTTTTGTGGGCGCGGTGTTGTGGGCGCGTTTATGACGTCGCAGTTTTCTCGCCACGGTTTTGTCAGCATGCTTTTGTCGTGCACGCATTTGTCAGGTCACGGGAGGAGTCAATATGGCTATCCCATGTAATGAGTCCAGTACTGGGTGACATACTGAGTGTAGGTCAAGTGAACATCACCGTTGATTAGAAGCAAGTTAGCTAAACTGTTCAAAGGAAGCCAGATTATTACAACTGGCAAGGAAACAGGGTGAAAGCGAAGCAGAAATTGCAACTCCTTTGTGAATGGTAAGAAGAAAATGAGAGCAGCCTTTCACTGCAGTTTCAGTGCCCAACCCTGGATAATTAAATTCTACAATTAATGACCCTGATGTGTGCTTACCTCTAGGATGTGCAATACCATTGAAATAAGGCAGGTGCCTCAGACAACAACACCCTTGATTTGGTACAAGATTGTTGTGTGACTATGGAGAAATCAACTGCCCTATTAATTAGTACCACAGAAATTGAAGAAAGAGAGGGACAGGGGTTTACACCAGAAAAAGGTATTTGTCTGAATTCCTTCTCGGCATCTTTCATTCTGTTCACAAAACTGTCTTTCAATTTCCTGACCTCAGTAGGGACATGTTCACACTCTCCAACAACAGTAGTTTATTGCAGCAATAACTTCACTTCTGTCGCGTCTGCGTTGCAAGTTCAGGAGAAATTAAGTACACAAATGGGGAGTTTAATCACTGAAGTTATTGCTGAAGTAAATTTAGCTGGATTCAAAGGTCTTCTTCCTTGCATTTACGAATGGAGAACACATTCACACATTGCACAAATTGCAGACTATTGAAGAAATAATGTAAAGTATTTTGATTGTTTACTGCTTTCCTTTTTTCTTCAAGAGAGAGAGGGGGGAGGGAGGGAAGGAGGGAAGGAGAGTGAGGGAGAGGGAGAAGGGGAGAGAGGGAATGAGAATCTCTCCCTCCCCGTCATAAAATATGATAAAACATACATTTGGCTAAGAGGTGTGCAGCAGTATACACAACGAAATGGAATGTTCCATTCCAATTTGTTTTTAAATTGCAAAAATCAAATGCTTTTTAAAAAGCCAATCATTTTAAACAAGTACATAAGTAAATTTCTAAATATATATATATTTCCAAATATATACTGTATTTAACAACAATTTCCAAATATGTATTTGGAAAAAATATATATTGTTACATATTTGGACACAATATACTGTTTGCCTAACCAAAGAAGTTCCAAATTATATTTAACAACAAATTCCATATACATATATATATATATATTTTCGTAGATTTTCATGGGTACAAGTATGCAGGTTTTGGTGTATTTGGTCTTTTCCTGTGTAAGATTGAGAGTATCTTGGCGACATTTCGACAAGGTCCCACTCATCATCTTCAGGTTGGTGTCTTCAGCCTAGTGCCTGTGCGAGAAAAAAAAACCAGGCACGAGGCCGAAGACACCAGCCTGAAGATGACGAGTGGGACCTCGTCGAAACGTTGCCAAGATACTCTCAATCTTACGCGGGAAAAGACCCAAATACACCCAAACCTACATGCCTGTACCCGTGAAAATCTACGAATATATATACATATTATATTATATTATATATAATATATTATATATAATATATTATTAATATATTTGGACACAATATATTGTTTGCCAAACCAATCAGGTTCCAAATATACTGTACATTTAAGAATAATTGCCTCTGCATCACTTTTCCCGGATGGAAATTTCGTAATTTCCTATGAAATCAGCCACATATGAGAGAACCGCGTGATTAAAAGGGACAGAAGAGTGTGATGTGTTCCATAGTAAGGAGAGAGAGAGAAAAAGAGATAATTTAGGCACACTTCTCATATCCCGAATGATATTAGCCAGTTAAATGCTTGTAATGTGCTCCAGGAATCAAATGAAAAAAAGTGAAAGCAGGGACTTGGTGTGTCAGTTGAAACTTGATTCCTAAACTTCTTTCTTTGAAAGGCATTTTTCCCCCCAACGGACAGAAATGGAGCTACCTTCTGAGGAAGAGGTGCTTAGGTGGTGGTTTCAGAAGGGAATGTAGAGAAGCCCATGCCATTGTTAGAAACACCCATAAAAATAATACAAAAGTAAACAGTATCAAGGAAAGCAAAGGACTAAAGAGGGTTTTCAAACTAGGCTTTCTTAAAACCCCTGCAAGAATCATGCCTAACTCTTCTTCATCGTCTTTTGAAGGGCTTACTAGCCAAAACTGCCAGACAGAGAGCAGAAGGCTTTATTGCCATTCCTGTCATGCTGCTTTCGGTCACTTTCTTTTTCCCAAGTCTACCGGTTCCTTCATAGTTTCTCGACGTAGTCAAACAGGAAAGGGAAAACGATAACCTTGTTCAGTGTTCGAATAGGACATTTGAAGCGGCACTGCCTTGAGGCCTCTTCTCAGGCAAACGATTCCAAAGATTGATGTGCCATAACGTATTTCCAAAGTTCACAGAGCCTGCGATCATCTGAGGCAGGTTGTTGACTGTCTCGTGGGATTTAACGGCTGGCATGAAAGTAAGGCCTTTGATTGTTGCAGTTTCTTCTCCTCTCCGGGGTTACGGGAGTAGCCCTACCCACCCCTAAGGCTAGCTGCAAAGTTTCCCAGTCTCATATTCCACTGGGTTTGGGAGCTTGGCATTGAAGGCCTGTAGGGTAGACTGGATCCGACTCACTTCATTGTTGGCGAGTTTGAGCCTATGACGAAGCAAGCAAGAGAAAAGATCAATGCGGCTTTTCCCCGGTGGGGAGAGACGGTTGACTCGGTCCCTGATCTCAATCAGTTGCAATATAGCAGAGTCTTGGGATCCTTGGGTATAGGGGTAATCTAGCTGAAGGACAAGGTCCCGAATGGCATCAGACTCAAATGGCAGGCTGTAGCCAAAGACCTGTAAGGTGTTGATTCTCATGTACCCTAAGTTCTTAGAAGGATCCGTTTCCAAAGGCTCGTAAAAGATGGTTTCGTTAGAACTGTCGTTAAGGGATTTGATGCGGCTCCGCAAATAGACATGGACTGTCTCAAAAAAGGTCTTCCACTTGCTGCCTAAAGTGAGAGTCCAGTTTTGGCATTGGCCAGAGGCATCTACATTAGTCCTTTCCCAGTCAGGGAAGCCAGTCTCATTGGTAGGCATAAACCAGCTTTCGGAATGGCTACCCCCAAAGGGGTTGACGTAGATGGCCATGACTGGTTCCAAGGTGCTATTCTTGGTGAGGCAGATCTGGAGGGAGAGGGCCAGCATGAGGTGGACCAAATTTGGCTTGTACTTGTTGCTTTTCAGCGTCACCAGCATCCTCTTCCTCCAGGAAGGGTCAAACCATGTCCCCAGGCGCATATCATTGCTAATGAAGATTGACTGTACTTCAATGCGGCTGTCCCGCTTCTGCAGAAGATATTTGAGCTCCAGGTCCTGCAGGTCTGTTTCTAGACCTAGGTAATGCTCAAGAGACTCTGCCACCTCTGGGCGGCACAGCCCTAAAGTGAGGATATAGCCAGAATTGCAGGATCCACACTGGGTGATGTTATCTTCTGCACAGGCAGCACATTCTGGCCCTTCTCCTGCACTACAAGGGATGGTGATCTGACAAGAAGGCTGATCATTAGGGCAGATGCAGCTGCGGCTTTCTTCAACAAATGTCCCTCTCACAGAGGCCTCGCTGCAGTAAAGGAGGGACTGAACGTGGCTCCACCAGTAGGTCAAAGGCCTAGAGGAATAAGGTAAACAGAGAGAAATGTGAGCTCTGGAATTATACTTCAGAAGCAGACCATTTGACNCTTGTCTCCTCCCCACTGATCCAAGGCTCAGGCACCACCTGGTGGCCAACCAGTCTCTCTGCATTCTGCTCGGAGTCGGAACCCTGTCCAGGGTCCTCTACCTCCTTCAGAGCCGACTCATAGGGCCCCTTGCTGTCGGAGTCTGGTGGCAGCTCCAACGGCTCCTGCCGGGCCACAGCAGGTAGTTAGCCTTAAATGTTGGAATTACATCTTTAGAGGTGCTGTCGAATCTTAAGATACTAGAGTATAGTAGCAATTGATGTTCGAATGACTGTGAATTTAGTCTTCAGATTTAAGTAAACCCATCTGGTTAAGCAAAGAACAGAATTTTTTTTAGAAAAAGGAAGATGGTGGATGTTGAGGTTTTTAGGTGGAAATTGTTTGTTGGATAATGCAATTTTGTTAGATTGGTAGATAAGATCTCAGTGCATCTCATTCTGTACAGCCACTGGCCATGGCCACCACAACTGATAAAGGCTGGATTTCAACATCTGGATGCCCACATTCCCACCTTGACCTAACACACAGAGTTTTAAAGGGGACCTTACCCAATCCTGGATTTTCTACCAGTTTACAACCTAGTACTAGAGGCATGCAAATATGTTTTACTCAGGTTCTACTTTCTCTTCATGTCTAAGCTAAAAGAAGCATGGTTCCATCTGCAAGACAATGTCAGAGTTGCTTTGGCAAATCAAGGTTCTCTATAATATTGCCAAAAAAGGAAAATGATATATATGGTACTAAGATGCTATACTAGATGTCTGTATTGCTGGATTTTGAATTGAAGGTTGAACTTTTTGAGCATTGAACCTTTTTGGCAGTAGGCCTGTAAAATGAGCTTCTTTCCAAGGAAGAATAAAATGCAACATGACTGTTTAGAAAAATAAGCATCTTGTGCCAATGACAGTGTTGGCAAAACTCCTGTTAAAGCATTGGAAAGTAATGGCTATTCAGACTTAAAAGAGCTGAGTGTCTTCTTCAATGGATAGATTGCCTTTCTCTAGGTTCAATATGCATTGAATGAATCAGAGAAAAGTATGCCCCACCTGTGATGCAAAATTTCTGGACCTATCATGAAAATAAGTGTTATTCATCCATGGCAGCTGAATAGCATTTCTATAAGGGATCCTAATGTTTGTTGAAAATCTCTTTCTCTTTATGGAACCTACATTTCTAGACCTCACTGGGAAAATAACGGTTCCACCACAAAACCGCGTTCGACTAAAGCGCGCTCAACGAAACCGCGTACCTGATGTCATCACAGCGCGACGAAAAAAGCACACTGTGAACGCTAAAGCTAAAATTAACCCCTAAACCTAAACCTAACCCCCCTAAACCTAACCCTAAACCTAACCCTAAACCTAACCCTTAACCTAACGCTAACGCTAACGCTAACCCTAACCCTAACCCTTAACCTAACCCCAAACCTAATCCTAACCCCTAACCTAACCCTAACCCTAACCCTTAACCTAACCCTAAACCAACCTTAACCCTTAACCTAATCCTAACCCTAACCCTAACTCTAAACCTAACCCTAAACCTAACCCTTAACCTA